GTTTTTCAGCTAATGAGTATGTCTTACTCACTGATGGGGGAGAGCCTGAGTGTTATGCAGAGGCCATGGAAGATGAGCACAAAAGGGAGTGGGTTGAAGCCATGAAAGATGAGATGAATTCCTTACATGAGAATAATACATTTGAGTTGGTGAAGTTGCCTAAAGGCAAGAGAGCTTTGAAGAACAAGTGGGTCTACAAAGTGAAGACTGAAGAGCACACCTCACAACCTAGGTACAAGGCTAGATTGGTGGTCAAAGGGTTCAGTCAGAGAAAGGGTATTGATTTTGATGAGATTTTCTCTCCGGTCGTGAAGATGGGATCTATTCGTGTTGTTCTGGGTTTGGCAGCCAGCCTTGATCTTGAGGTTGAACAGATGGATGTCAAAACAGCTTTCCTTCACGGTGACTTGGATAAAGAAATCTACATGGAGCAACCTGAAGGGTTTCAGGTTAAGGGAAAAGAAGGCTATGTGTGTAGACTTCAAAAGAGTCTTTATGGGTTGAAGCAAGCACCAAGACAGTGGTACAAGAAGTTTGAGTCAGTTATGGGGGAGCAAAATTACCGAAAGACTACTTCAGACCATTGTGTTTTCTTCCAGAGGTTTGGTGATGATGATTTCATCATTTTATTGTTATATGTTGATGACATGTTAATTGTTGGCAAGAATGCAGAAAGAATTACTCAGCTGAAGATGCAATTAGGCAAGTCTTTTGCTATGAAAGACTTGGGGCCAGCAAAACAGATTCTTGGCATTCGGATCACTCGAGATAGAGCTTTGAAGAAGCTACACATGTCACAGGAGCAATACATTGAGAAGGTGCTTCGCAGATTCAACATGGACAAAGCTAAAGAGGTTAGTTCACCTCTTACTACCAACTTCAGGTTGACAGATAAAGATTGTCCATCTTCTGAGAAGAAGATTGAAGAGATGGATAGAGTTCCTTATGCCTCAGCTGTAGGGAGCTTGATGTATGCTATGGTGTGCACACGACCTGATATTGCCCATGCAGTAGGTGTTGTTAGTCGTTTTCTGTCAAATCCAGGTAAGAAGCATTGGGAAGCAGTGAAGTGGATTCTCAGATATCTACGTGGTACTTCCAAATTGGGTATAACATTTGGAAATGGGGAGCCAGTACTTGTTGGTTATACTGATTCTGATATGGCAGGAAATAAGGACAACATGAAATCCACTTCTGGATATTTGATGACTTTTGCAGGGGGAGCTGTGTCATGGCAATCGAGACTGCAAAAGTGTGTGGTTTTATCCACCACCGAGGCTGAGTATGTGGCTGCAACAGAAGCATGCAAGGAGCTATTGTGGCTCAAAAGATTTATGCAAGAGATTGGCTTTATGCAACAACGTTATGTGGTACTTTGTGATAATCAAAGTACCATTCACCTTGCTAAAAATTCTATGTTTCACAAACGAACCAAACATATTGATGTGAGGTATCATTGGATTAGAGATGCACTTGAAGACAAACTGTTTGAACTTGATAAAGTTCATACCGATGATAATGGTGCTGATATGTTGACGAAGGTTCTAGCAAGGGAAAAGTTGAAGGTATGTTGCTCCATCGCCGGTATGGCGAACTCTTCCTCATAAGTCAAAAAGGGGGAGATTTGTTGGGTTTTTTCTTTGTTTTTGACCCATGAGGAAAGCCCAAGTATTGAGCCCATTAAAAGTCTTCTTTGACTTTGTGTGTTTGGGAGCTAATAATCAAAAATATGGGTCAGCCACTAACATACATTCGATGGACAGAAAGAGAGCGGCAGAAAAAAAGAGCAAAAGTCACAAAACATGAGCTGAAATGCTCATCCCGTTTTTCCAGCAGGCAGCAGCAGAAAACATCCCTTTCCCGGAGATTGAACCGTTGGATCGTCGTGATTTTTGGACAGCAGCTTCACAGCATCTGAGCCAACATTCTGGACGGTGGAGATCGGGTTTTGAGGTCCGGAGGTCGGGTTTCGTTGGTCTGGACAGTAGCTATTTTTCTGGTGATATTTTTCTTATCTTGGCTCTATTTGATTCCATACACCTTGATGTGCTTACTTCCAAGGATATGATGAATGTGTATGCCTCTAGTATTATCTAGAGAAGACTTTGTACTGCTCCTTTGATGATGATAGTGGATTTAAGCGGCCAAAATGGTCCCGTGGTTTTTCCCTAGTTAACGGGTTTTCCACGCTAAAATTCCGGTGTTTGTGTGTGGTGTGTGCTTACTGTTTTTAGCTGAATATATTGGTGTGTGGCAGCAACTTGTGTGTGTTCTAATTGCATTAAGAACACCCTATTTGTTTGCATCCTCAAAGATTCATTCAAGTTGGGGAAAGTTTAGCCAAACGGAGATTAATTCCACATTTTATTAGTTCCGTTTGTGGCTGTTTTTCCCCATCAGTTTTTAATCTAAAGATCATCACGTAGAACTTCCGCATAGCCCTATTTTTCCAGATCGCTTAGTTTCTCCCTAGCGGCTTTGCGTCGCGTAGGGTTTTGTCTCCCTAGCGGCTTTGCCGTCACGTAGGGTTTTCTTCCGTTAATTGTTTGTGCGGCTTTTCTTCTCTAGGCTTCTAGGATAGAATGCTTTTTAAGGTACGGCTCCAGCTTTTGGAAACGAATTCAAGGTTCAAGAAACGATAATATGCCTTCTATGGATGATCTAGAGAAGCGTTGTCTCATTCCTACACTTGAGGAGGAGGTCGAAGAGTTAGTTTCTGGCGAATCAACATGGGTAGAGGGTGGTTGTGGTAGTGGAGGCGGAAAAGACGACGAGAAGACGGGGAGAGGTGAAGGACTGAGCAAGGGAGAAGACAGATTGGCAGTCCGTCCCCCTCCTGAAGCGCCGCCTTGGAGCAATCGAGGTGAAGGGTTTGGAAGATTTATCAGTTATTTAATTTTTTATGGTTTTATTTTCACGTTATGCTTTATGTTGCTCTGATTTTGTTGATGTCCTTAGTTTTATGTCTACAATTATGATTGACAAGTCTGCTAGATATTTATATTGTTAGAAGGATTTATATGATCAGTGATTATTGTGTCACACCCGCTTTGTGGTTAACGATTCGCATTAGGTAGATTCTATGGTACCCATACGGTACCATACCTTTGCCTACATGGACCAATCAGAATGATGCAGTCGAATTATTTAAATCTAAATTAAAAAGGATATAATGATTTGGACCAATCAAATGCGTGGTAGGTACGGTACCCCATTTTTTATTGGGGTACCGAAGATGTCACCTTCGCATTATTCTTTCAGGGGTGATCGTCTCTGAGTCTAGCCGTAGGGTTGATGGTGCTAGTTGGTTAAGGATAGTTGTTGTCAGGGTTTCTCTTTTTGATGTCTTATAAGCGGTTTGTTTTGATGATAAAAAAAACAAATCTAAAGATCGTCACATGCATGCATATGATTTTTTTTAATTCACAAGAGTCCATCTCAAATATAGATTAATAAGACAAGCAGAATAAAAATGAGAGAGAAAAACTCTTTACATGGATTGTGTCGAAGTAAGACTGTTGGTATATATTATCCCGGTTTGTTACTCTTCAAGAGTCCAAGACTTTACATATTATGGAGCCCTATCAATCAGGTCCTTTTAGGCCCATTTCGGCCATCCTTCCCACCTAGGCCCATCTCGACCCATTTAGCCGATTAGGGTGGAGAGCCCCCTCTTCCCCCTTTATCTATAAATAGGGAGTTTTCCCTCCTCATCAAGGGCGTCCGGCTTCTTCCCCAACTTACTTATCTCTCTAGAATAACTTCCCCATTAATGGGAGCTTGAATGTTGTACTATGTAATGGTGATGAGAGCCTAATGAGAATAAGATGGCTTGGACATTAGCCTAAAAAGGAGTAAAGGGTCAGTTTGGTACTCGAAGTTGCAAAAAAGGTGTCAAATAAATCCTTATATAGAAGATTATGTCCGGATGTGCCATTTGAGGTGGCTCCTGGTGGAATTTTTTGATAAAGTTTTTTGAGCATCTTATTCATTAAGTCTAGTTTACTCATACCAAATTTCAGCTAAACATTCAATCGGGAAGACATTCAAATGAATTCTTGAAGATAACTGCGCTTTCAACGGCACAATTATCTTCAAGAATTCATTTGAATGTCTTCCCGATTGAATTTGTATCTGAAATTTGATATGGATAAATTAGACTTAATGAATAAGATGCTAAACAATTTTCATCAAAAAATTCCACCGGGAGCCACCTCAAATGACACTTCCAGACAGAATCTTCTATATAAAGACTTATTTGACTCTTTTTTTGCAACTTCGAGCACCAAACTGACCCTTATACCGCCTAAAAAGTCCCGTGATTTTCTCCCTTTCACATTTATACATATATTTACTATATCGTGTTGGATTATACTCAACAAAGACTAAAAATAAAAAACAACATGTTCAATTTCGAAGTTGAAAGAAATCCCAAAAATATGTAGTCATCTAGATACAAATTAAATGAGGTAAGGGTCAGATTGGTACTCGAAGTTGCATAAAAAGGGTCAAATAAGTTCTTATTGTCCGGCCGTCGCCATTTGAGGCGGTTCCCGGTGGAATTTTTTTATGAACTTTTTTAAGCATCTTATTCAGTAAGTCTAGTTTACTCATACCAAATTTAAGCTAAAACTTCAATCGGGAAGGCATTCAAATGAATTCTTGAAGATAATTGCACTTTTAACTGCGCAGTTATCTTCAAGAATTCATTTGAATACCTTCCCGGTTGAATTTTTAGCTGAAATTTGGTATGAGTAAACTAGACTTAATGAATAAGATGCTCAAAAAATTTCGTCAAAATATTCCACCAGGAACCGCCCCAAATGACGACGGCCGGACAAAACCTCCTATAGAAGGACTTATTCGACCCTTTTTATGCAACTTCGAGTACCAATCTGACCCTTACCTCCAAATTAAACCTACGCCTGGATATATATATATATATATATATATATATATATATATATATATATATATATAACTTGTGCTCTACAACTTATGTATAAATCAATAATATTAAACAAAAAAAACTAAGTAATCAATCATTCTGTGAGAAGAAATACAAATTCTCTTGAATGAAATCCACCGCATTGTGTGATCTTCTATGATAATCATATAAATAATCATGAAGTCCGCATACTTCCAACTTTCTCCATAAATGTTTTCTAATTGAATAAATTAAAACTCTTAGACACCCCCATGCCTGAATGAACAACACTATCTCGCCTAAATTGGTACATGTGGAGACAATGTCCATAGCATCTTTAACTATTAAACTCTCTTCCCATGGAACGGAAATGCTATGCTTCTCCCATTTCATTGATTTCTCCAAAGTCCAAATATCCATTACTCGTTCTGCGAAACTGTTACTTTGCATATGAACGACGGCAAGCCGGCCATCGATTTCCATCCATGACAATCTCAACGACGTTGGGACGGGATATTTTTTTACCTCAATACCCGGGAAAGGTACCGACCCGATATTCTCGTCTCCAACATTGAAAGTGACAATTTGGTGTTTATTTATTGAGCTTACAATCAAATAGATAATACCGCCAATGTGAACACCCGCATCGGGGTACCTAACCAAAACATTACTAATCTCCCTCCATGATTTATCCACTCCGAGAGTTAACACACAATGTTGCCTCTTTAAATAGCCACTAAATAAATCATTCCAGATTTGCAACTTCAAAACCTTGTACTTTTCTGAAACCGGATCAAATCCCAAGATAGAACAAGTGTAGATTTGACTTTTTGGGCTCGTGGCAGCTCTTGGAAAGGATATATGTTGCCTTGTTTAGAATGACATCAAGTTCATAGTATAGAAAAGAGAATCACAACTTTAGTAAAAATGAGAACAACAATACCATAAAGAAAAAATAGTATTTGGAGTCTGTAGCTAAAACTTTACATTTTTTTTAGGAATTAAATGACAATTTAATAATCAAATATTAAAAATAATACGCTTATGGCAGCATAATTATCATCAATGACCTCATTATATGTTATATACACATCCAAAATACTTCTCAAAATACACTCAAGTTACCTTATTTATAATTTATAATTGTCTAAATTATCGTGTCATTATTCAACGAGAAACTAAAGATGGGACAAAGGTTTGTGTAATAGGTAGTACTACATCATTTAAGTAAGAATGTTTTCACTCGTTGGATATGAATGGATCTGGTTTGAACTGAGTTTGTTTAAATCTGATTTGAAATGAAACAGAAATCAATCAAAGTGAAAACATCCTAAATACAGAACATATATTATTTGTGACATGATGGTATTTTAGGCTTTGTTCGTTAGACTTATTTTATTCCTAGACTAGACCATACTCTAACATGCATTATGACACTGAAATAGATTAGAACATACAAAATTTAGACAATAGTAAATTTCACATAATACTAAATCTTATAAGATCATATTGATTTAGAATTTTAAATCATTCTTAAACCATATAAAACCATATTAGATTAGTTCAGTCCAATGAAATGGAGTCTTATAATATACCTTGTACTAGGGTTGCAAATAGAGACGTCTCCATCATTGTTGCATAAACAAATCAAGCCATTAGCCTGTGACCACATATTCAGATTTTTAAACTGTTGTCCCTCCAAATAATGGACCTGATTGGCTTGGAGCATTCCCTTGTCTTCTCCAGTGTCCTTTAGGGTGTAGAAGTGGTTTTGGTCTGGCAAGGGAAGATTTAAGAGGATTTGAGTTCCATTGGGGCGGGTCGAAGATCGGTCGTGGTGCACTTTAACAAAGAGGGGCTCAGCTATAAGAGAATAAAAGAATTTGGAAACACACTTGAATCGCACTAAAGGTTTAGCAGGAAGCCTGGTGAGAATTTCTAAAAATATCTCCTTTGGGAGAAAAACTGCACCAGTTGAAAAAAAGTCCATTAATGTCTTGTGCTCTTCTTGAATATGAAGAGAACTGTTATTATTAGGCTTGGAACTCATCTCCTGCAAATACCAACAAGGAAAATTATTATGAACTCTATTGAATAAAAATTATTAGGAATCATTAGGTACCCATTATATATGGATTTGGAATCTCGATCTAGTGAAATTGAGGAAGGAGCTATTTACAAGTGACTTAAAGGTCTTAATTATGATCCAGCCATTAAATCATGTTTATTTACGATTTCATTGAAAACTGAACTTGTTGATCATTTAGTAAAAAACGAACTGAATCATTAAACTACAATATTGAAATTCAATTTGGCAGGTCGGCAGAAAAAATCTGGAAAGGTTCCGATGGCAGGCGGTGGTCGGACAACCTGGGGCAGCAGTGCTCCATCCCTATGAGGATATTTTGGTTCAATCACAAATAACAAATAATATTTAATGTATTTTACTAAAGTTGATTTTATTTTTGGAAAAAAAATTAGTTTATTTTAATCCTTTATTAGGTAAATCTCTCCCACAAATTTATTAGGAGTATCCTATATCCATATTCAAACTAGGCTAACTAGCAACCATATAAAGTTTTAGGTAGTTCGGTCTATATTGATGGAACGAACGGAGCCAACTAAGAAGCTCTAACGATCTAAGAATACCTACAATATGTACATTAATTATTAAAATAAATAAATTAATAGAGCTAGAAGGCGTAGTGTTAAATTGCAAAACACATTAGTTTTCTCATATGGATTGCACTTTTTTTATACAAGAAAAAAGAAGCAAGATGATTATATGAAGTAAAAATATCACGTTAGGAAAAAATTAACAAGAATATAATTAAGAGCTTGATGCTACCTAGGTTTGAAGATCTGGTAAATCATATGACGTGTATGCGGTAGCATGATTCATGATGTGAGGTTACATAAAATTGCTTTGCATGTACAAATTTGATTATAAAATTTAGAATGAAAGCAAGTATATATAGAACAAACTATTCCATTAAATTAAAGAACCCTAACAATAGCGTGCTGACGTGCTGTACATATACTACCGGTCTTCTTGTTTCGGTCGGCCCAAAATTAAAATGCATAAATTTTTTTACGTGTATATAGGGAGAGGTTTTCTTTTTATCTTATTTGTATTGTTTATTGTTTATATTTTATTTAGATCAAATCATATAAAAAAGTCAAATTAGATCTGGTCATATCACAAAAATTCAAACCGGTTCAGATAAAAAATATCACATCAGGTCTAGTTATATCAGATCAGAACATAAAGATTCATACCGGATTTGTGCGAATTTAAAAGTTTAAATTAGAACAAAAACATTCAAATCAGATCAGACCAGAAACATTCAGATCAAACCACAAATATATAGATCATATAAAAAAAGTTCAGACATGAATTATTATTATTATTATTATTATTATTATTATTATTGTTATTATTATTATTATTATTATTATTATTATTATTATTATTATTACTATTATTATTATAAAGATTCAGATGAGATCATATCAGAAGATTAAGATTATATCATATTAGATTTTGAAAATTCATATCAGAAACATTCACATCATGCGAATGGGATAATTTCATAATGTCCACCTTAGGTAAGGGGGTTTCTCTATTAAATTTCATAAGATTTTAAAGGATTGAGACTTTAATGTAATTTTATGAAAATATATAGAATGCATGAGATTGTAATAAAAATTCATGAAATTGAAATCCTCTCACCATTTGGCTTCGACGCCCAAGGACACTAACGATATCCAACTACAATGAATCCTAGATGGAGCTTCTGAACTTCCAGACTTACACGTACATACAGTACACACCCAACATACTTCTCCTTTAGTTAGTCTCAATCTGTATCCGAACCAATCTCGGAGAGGGGCTTCTGACACTTGACGAAGAAGGAAAGGATGAAGATTGGCACCATATTTATATATATATATACACTTGACAGGGTGTCGTTATACACCCATCCTGGACTTCGTGCTTTGCTTTGCTTTGCTTCTCCACGTGAAATCTATTGAAATCCGGAGGTAATGGTTAGAGTTTGGTTGGATTCTTTTGCATTTTTTAGCAGTGGAAATTCAAATCCATTGAAATCCAGGATTAAAAAAAACCATGGACATTTTGTGGACTAGAGACGATTTTGCCTAATTCCATTAGATTCCAGATTGATCATGAGATTCGTGAAATTGTGACAATCGTATCTTTTAAAATCTTATGGAATCATAATTGATGACATCCTAAGGCCATCTATAAGAAAAAGTATTAAGAGTCCAAAATGCTAAAAATAGAAATTTTGGACTCCTAGAAGTGTACGTTGTAGCACATTGAAGAAGTGGGAAAGTGGAGATGGGATGGGGGATGGGGCCATGGGGGAGGCTGTTTTGGAGGGATCCGGTTTCTCTGCCTGGATTTGGCCGTCAGATACGATATTTGCCGATCCTAAAGCACTGCTCCTTTCTTCTGTAAAAATATAGCCTGATAAGACTAATAAAAACATGTCAGAACTATATATTCTCACTTTGATTCCAAAACAATTTCACACTTTCCTTTTTGAGTAGTTCTAAAATAAACTTCACACTTATATTTTTGATAACTTTTCAATATAAAGTTTTCTTATACCCTTATTTATTACCTACTTTACACCACCCACTACACTTCATCTACTTTTTTTTGTGAGGCGGGGGGATAATGAGAAAATCAAAACAAAAAATTCAACTTTTTTAAAAACCGTACAGTCAAACTATGAAGTTCTTTTGGGACCGTAAAGGGCCAAATAGACCCTTTTTAAAATAAAAAAAGAGCTATTTCAAAAATATTATTGCGTATTAAAATAAAACTCATGTATATAAGTATGACTAATAGTTATAAAAAAAATAGTGTCATGATAATTTAAAATTTGAATAAAATTAATATTTTCATTATTACTCTAATCACTAGTCACATTTTTGTAATGAATGTTTATTATAGTCATAAATATGTAATGGTTTCACAGAAAAAAGTTATGTAGCGTAAATTAGACCGATGAAAAGTGAAATACCGGCTGATAAACTATGTGGCAATACTGATTAAATGACCGAAACGGAGAACCAAGGCCCCCAATCCACCGGCGGCGAACTCTCCCTCTTCACCTGAAAGCCTGCAATCCGACGACTAAACAAATCACAACCTTTAATTTATTCTCTGCCACAATGGCTGCTATATGTAGTTTTGCCCTCTCCTTCCATTTCCATTGATTTTCTTACGCTCTGCCATAGCCTCAAGGTCGTATATATGACACAAAGAATTTTTTATGGGATATTACTGTTTGTTAAATGCTGTGTGAGTAGGAAAAGATTTGAGGGAATTAGATACGTTATTGTGAAATATATTCTTCAAACTGTATGTTGTTATAACATCATTGACAGAAGGAATCATTATGTAAAAGATTGTGGCTTTCACTATTTTTTGGTTTACTATTACGTGTTTTCCTAGCGTGTTTGGTAATCTTATTTTTCGGTTTATCAAGGCTTATCAATCAACTTTTTCTCAAACATGTAACTTTTAATTTCAAGCGCTGAATTGTTCAATAATAATAGTAAAAAGTAAGGTTGTGGTTACTTTTCTTGTTGTATCAGCTGAAGTTATTGTACATGATAATTTTAGCTATTTTTACATTTAATTTTTTCTTTATTCTAGTAATAGGTAGAATATATTTTAAATACTTCTCCGTCCCGAAAAGGTTTTCCAAATTTGCTTATTTGGATATCCCAAAAAGATTTGTCATTTCCATTTAAAGTAAGGAATATGTGGCTAAAGTTAATTCTCTCTCCTCTACAAAAATTTTAACCACACAATTTTTACTTTATTAATCCACGTGAAAGTCAAAGTTGGCGAACCTTTTCGGGACGGAGGGAGTATAATTTTTTCATAAATCAACAGAATCGGTCAATTCAGCAAAAATTTTATAAATTTTGGCAGAATCAGTCGATTTTGATTTTTTTTACTCCAGGGGGTCAGAGAATCAGACGGTTTTGATATTACCAAACGGGCTATGGCTCTATTGTGCAAAGTTTTTTCTATACGGGAATGAAGAACTCAATTTGCCTTAGGCCTGTTGATCAACCAAAAGACCGTTTGGCAACGCTGTTTTTCGGCTTATCAGGATTATCAGCCAACTTTTTCACCAAACACATAACTTTTACTTTTGTGTGCTGAATTGTGTAATAAGCAGAAAAAGAAAGGTTGGAGTTACTTTTCTGGCTGTATTGGCTAAAGTTACTGTAAATGATCATTTTAGCTATTTTTACATATACTTTTTTCTTTATTTTATTAATAAGATATATTTTTAAAATAATTTTTTCTTAAATCAGCAGAATAAGTCAATGCAGCCACTTCAGCCAGAACTTCATAAGTTTCAGCAGAAACAACCTGGCTAAAGGGTCAAATAGGTCCTTGAACTAACTTAAAGTGTTCAATTAGCCTCTTATATAGGAGGTTCAGCCCGGCCATCGCCAAATGGGGAGGTACCCGGTGGAATTTTTTGATGAAATTTTTTGAGCATCTTCTTCATTAAATCTAGTTTACCCTTATCAAATTTGAGCTAAAAATTAAATAGGGAAGGCAGTCAAATGATTTTCTGAAATGTACTGCGTTGTTTAACTGCGCAGTTATCTTCAAAAAAATCATTTGACTGCCTTCCCGGTTGAATTTTTAGATGCAATTTGGTATGTGTAAACTAGACTTAATGAACAAGATGCTAAAAAAATTTCATTAAAAAATTCCACCGGGAACCGCTCCAATTGGCGACGGGCGGGCAGAACCTCCTATATAAGGGACTAATTGAAAACTCAAATGATTATTCCACGTCTCATTAATAGATGTTGGCACTACTTCTCTTTGAATTGATGATTAATACACAAGTAAATTCTATTAGTCCCAAAAAATGTCCTGACCTGTTTAGCAAAGGAAAATTGAATTCAGAAAACAATCATGTTTACATTTTCTATTTTCAAATTCATAATACAGAAAACATTGTACTTCACCAGTTTTTAAATTTAGAAACAGAAAACTGCTTTCCTTTATCTTTGTTTTTTCATAAAATTAAGAAACAATTTTTTAATGCATAGCATTACTGGTGGAGTGGTGGCCTTGACACCACATGTATGATATTGGACATGTGTTAGGAAAAAATGATTTCCAAATTATTAAGAAATAGAGGATAGTAAAACTAGGAAAACATATAAAAAATATAGCTGGAAATAGAAATAGAAAACAAGGAAAACATAAACGTTATACAATGCATAAAACAGAAGTAAAAGAACCCATATGATAATCATAGTCAAACCAGAAATAACTACCTCCGTGCCAATTTACTTAGCCATCTTTGAATTTTCCAGTAAAAGATGGTAAACTTTGACCAATTATTCTAACTAATATAATGATGCAAAAATTAATAAGTTTATACTTTTATGATAGTATTTTTAACAAAGAACATTTTCATATCATTTTCATATGATCAATAATTTCTCCATATAAACATATAATCTATCAAAATTAGACTTCATTGACTTGAAAAGTCAAGTTTGACTAAGTAAAATGGGACGGAGAGAGTTTGATTCAAGGGTAATGTAAAGTTGTACCTTGCTAAAATTCCAGAAGTCATAAAGTTGATCATTACTCATAAGTATGATGTATGAAGTATGATCAATGTCAAGTCAAATAATCTCTTTCCAGTGAACTGAATACACCATGTATTATCTATGAAAGTCATTTAACGTTTTAAAGAATGAACTTTTTAGAATAACGTACATGTGTAACAGGTAAAGAGAAATGGATCCAAGGACAGGATGGATAAATCATGGGATCCAAGGTAGTCCATTGCTGATCACATGTACCGCATGGCTCTAATGGCTTTGATCGTCCATTTTCTGGAGTCAACAGGGAAAGTTTGATTGTGGGACTCCATTTTGGTCGATGAAAGTCATGGTTGCTTCTCTGTGAGCTTGTCAATGAAAATGTATTGATGATCAAGTAACAAAATTTTCGATTTCATATTAATGCTAATTTTTTAAATTATGTATGTTCATTTGGTACTAATGTTATTTGGTACTAATGTCATGTACATCTTAAAATGTCATATCAATGCATTTTATTTATAAATGTTTCACATATTCAGTTGAGTATTAGCAGAAGTCGCGATTTTCAATCAAATTATATACGATATACAAATATCCAAAGTCCAAATATCCATTACTCGTCCTACGAAGTTGTTACTTTGTTTATCAACGACAGCAAGCCGGCCACCGATTTCCATCCATGACAATCTCCACGATGTTTCGATAGTACATTCCTTCAACGTTGAAAGTAACAATTTGTTGTTTATTTATCAAGCTTATCATGTAGATAATACCGTCAATGTGAACACTCGCATTGAGGTGCCTAATTAAATCACAACTGATCTCCCTCCATGATTTATCCATCCCCTGAGTTAACACACAAAATTGCCTCTTGTAATCGTTACAATAGAAATCATATGATTTTTGGAACTCCAAAACCTTATACTTTTTTGAAACCGGATCAAATCCTAAGATAGAACGAGTGTAGAGTTGATTTAGGCTCGCTGCAGCTCTTGGCAAGGAAATATGTTGCCTTGTTTAGAATAACATTAAGTTCATAGCATAGAAAAGAGAATCACAATGTTAGTCAAAATGAGAACAATAAAACCACAAGGAAATAAATAGTAACAGATCGACTAAGCCTCTCATTTGCCTCTTTTCGATGTTGCAGCTAAAGCTTCTCATTTGTATTTTAGAAAATAATTGGAACTCTTAAATGAAAAATTAATCATCAAATATTAAAAATAATACACATAACATCATAGTCGTCGTCATCATGAATGATCTCATTATGTGTTATATACCCATCAAAATTGTTTCTGAAACTATATTCAAATTACCTGATTTAATAATTGTATAAAAATCATGTCATTTTGTAACGAGAAGCTTAAGTCGGGAAGAACGTAGTATTGAATACAAATAACATAATATCCCTAATTTAAGGGATTTTTCCTTAAATATTACTAATAAAGGGGTTATGAACAACAATATTACTTAGTAAGTACTCATGACGATAATTCTTTTCAAAGTTTACATTGTAGTAACTGACATGTAATTACTACGATGCAAAATTTGAAAAGAATTATAGTCACTAATAGTTACTACGTAATATTTTTGTCCACCACAGTAAAAAGAGTAATATTAATGGAATTGTTTCCTAATTTAATAGATAGATTAATATAAAATTTATTTAATTAATATCATTAAGACTCCAATTATTAACATTACTAGATAGAACGGTAGACGATAGGCACCACGGAGGCTGCACACCTCAAACCCTAGGCTAAGCCTAGAAACTGTGTGTCAATCAATTGATTCTTAGGGCGGTGAGATTGCTTTGTCGATCGGAAGCAAGGTCCAAGGAAGAGGAAGGGCTAATCGTGAAGGTTGGAGGATATATGTTTTGATATCAACTTGGAGATTCTTGGTAGGGATATACCCAAATGGAGTCTTCTTTTTTCTGATTGTGTTTGTTTTGTTTTGTAGTGGTTCTTTCCCGGGCACTGGCGCTCCGGGGTGGTTTGTCTCTCTCAATGTGGGGAGTTGTGTTGTTGTATTGGCCAGCTTCGCCAGGTCAAGGGTTTCTGTTTGTCTTCTTTTGGAGTGTGTAGACATTCATAGAGCCCGTCCTCCTCCAGAACCACCTCCATGCCAGGAAGAGTATATTATGGAAAGACTTTACTTCGATTTTATTTTTCCTTCAGTAGTACTTGTATTTATTTTTTGAGTAGATTTAGTTTAGATTTTTGGAGTACGCTTGATCGGTGATGTTTCGGATCTGATTGTTTTATGCTTAAAATTGTCTGTTTTGTGTCTAGCGAATCAGGTTGCTTTTTACGAGGTAGCTGATTCTATGTCTATTCCTAGGGCTGACGATCGGATCTGTCATGGCTGTCTGGATGTTGTCTTGTAAAGTTCCTCGATTTTAATATAAAAACCCGCCCTTTTATTCTCCAAAACAAAAATTAATAGGTAGACTACAATATTTCAGTAAGAATGTTTTCAGCTACATTGAAAATTGCTTGTTTGATTTGAATTGATCTGGTTTGAATTGGGTGTTTAGATAATACGTAGTATATGGCATGAAATTAAAGTCTGGTTGAATATAATATTCCTTCCGTACACACACAAATATATATATATATATATGTATATATATATAGGGTGTGTGTGTGTGCGCACGCGCGTGTGCGTGTGCGTGCGTGCGTGTGTGTGTGTGTGT